ATTATATATATATATATAACATTTTTTTCCGACATATTAGTTTGTGTTTAACGAAAGAATTTCAAATAGCCAAATATGTCAAAAACAGATACTTTTGCAAAATGCTTGCTACAAATTTTGTCGATAAAATGTCCAACAGAACATAATGATAGATTGACTGCAGAAATCAAGTAGAATACTGCTATTTAAATAAATAGCATTATAAAACAAAAAATTCCGCTCGATTTCTGCTGTTACATTACGCTAGCAGAACTTAATACAGACACAATTGACACCTATCTGCTTCAATATTCTGCTCGAACTTGTTGGCAAACTGCTAACACGCTGCTAACATTTTATTCACTAGGATGTCGAAAATTTGCAGTCTATCAAATCAAAAGGGATGTTTCAGGATCAATATGGACTGATTTTAAGCCACAGATGGAGAATCTGAACGTGGATGGGCTAACCATAGTAGCATGGGATCCACCTGGTTACGGAAAGTCGCGACCACCCGACAGAACGTTCCCGGATGATTTTTTTCAACGCGATGCCACGTGGGCTTATAATTTAATGAAAACTCTCGGCTACTCGAAATTTTCTCTAATCGGCTGGAGTGATGGTGGCATCACGTCGCTTCTACTGGCCTCGGCCTATCCCGACAGCGTCTACAGGATGGTTGTTTTTGGCGCAAACGCATACATACACCCGGACGAGACAAAAATATACGAAAGTATGACTTCACTCTGCTCGTGATGTCGTAGACCGATATTCATAGCCCGTTTTTATCTTAAGGTCATCTTAAGTAATATCTTGAGATGCTAATTACAACCCTCTAATTGATTTATGACGTCTTATGATTAGACTTAAGATGATCTCAATATAAGAATTAATCATGAATACTGGCCTATGATTAGCTTATGACATCTTAAGACAGCACTTAAGTATACACTGAAAAAAAAGTTGTTGTTTTAAAAAAATATTGGTTCTGCAAACTAAATAAAGAGCTGATAAAGCAAATATTTATTAAATACTTAAGTATAAGCTTAAATATATACTTAAGTAAATATTTATTAATTTAATAAATATTTATTAATTTATTAATTTAAATATTTATCAAACAAGTAATATGTTGATATGACTCACATATATTTAAATATATAAATATTTGAACTATAAATAATTACTAAACGCATTTAACCAAATTAACAACTTTTTTTCTCGGTGTAAAAACTGACGGTAAATATAAGAATTGATGTGAATATCGACCGTTTAGCCAGAAGAGTCTTTTCTAGCGTTTGACAATGTAATTTATCGAAAACTTGTTATTTATAAAAAAACATTGAAAATTGAGAAAATTGTTAGAATCCACAAATTTGTTGGAATTCGTAAAAAGTCACAAAAGTTTTTATAAATTTTACAGATACAGGCGCAACATTTTGTTATCACGTGATTGAAAGTGCATTAAACATTTTATTTCTTTCATTTGCGTAACTCTTTATGAAATATTACTGTCCAGATATTAGGGACATCAACAAGTGGTCAGAAAAAATGAGAATACCTATGATACAAATCTATGGTGAGGATTATTTCCAAAAGATGTGGTCGGATTGGATAGACGCTGTGCTGAGATTGTACGAAAAACAAAACGGTGACCTGTGCAAACAGGTTTTACCGAAGATAAAATGTCCAACTTTAATCATTCACGGAGCCAAAGACGCGATGGTTCTGCCAGAACATCCAACGTATCTGAAACAAAATATTGCCAACTCGAAGTTTGTATTTTTACAGATTTGAAACAAACGAGGTAGGTACATTATCCTTTTACTAATTTCTTTTATATTACAGACTACATATTTTCGAAAAAGGCGCACATAATCTTCACTTAAGGTATTCCGAAGAATTTAATAATTTGGTTACGAATTTCCTTATCGATCGAAAATAGGATAATTATTATAATATATATAGATATCTCAAGCGTTACAGTTACAAGGAAAAAATGATTTTGCTGATGTATCTAGAAATTTAGTTAAATAGATCTGAAAATATTTTTTGTTTTTTGGATATAAAAATAATTATATCTTAAGTATAATGATCGATTTCAAACAATTTGGATATTTAGTTTGAACGTTCTGTACAATAATTTTGATGATCCAAAAAATTATTTTTACACTTGTCTAGCTAAATTTTTTAATACTTCAGCAAAATTGTTCTTTCGTGTACGTTCAAAATACGTTTAACAAACATAGAAATCGTAAACTGAAAAATAAACATTTAAAATTGGAAATATTTGTTTTTAACTATATTTAATTGTATATTATGAATTTTATTTAATAATAACA